GACCTAAGGCTGGTCGTGACCTGTTCACGCTGCCCAGATCTGAGCGGTCGGCGTCCCGGCTCGAGCCGGGCGCGCGGGGCGCGAGGGGGGGATCGCCCTAAGTTCGGGGGGGCAGAAGGGGTGGAGAGCCCGGCGGGCGGGCATGGACGCATGGTCGTGCCGGGAGCCCCTCGCGGAACACACGCAGCAGTTCAGGAGTGACCTCGCCCTCCAGGGATCCAAGGAGTTTGCCTGTGTTCCTCGGCGGGAGGCAGCGGAAGGCTGGGCGGAGGGGGGCGGCTCCGCCGTCGGAGGCCGGCGGGAGGCCAGCGGAAGCTTGCGCAAATAAAGGATAATAACCATGTGGTGCCCCCCCCCCCTGCTATCCAAGATTTCCGACGCCGTGATTTTTACCCCGACTTGGACCCTGGAAGTTTAGGTCCCTTGCCTGGGATTGGGTTTTTATTCTGACTCGTTGCGCGAGGGTCCTGGGCGCTGGCGAGGTCCTCCCCCGGGCCCGAGATCGGCCATGAAGCTCCCGCCGTGATTTTCCTCCGCGACGAACCCGTATCCACGCCCTCGCGGTCTGGATTCTGGGGCGCGATCCCGCGGATACGCGGTCGCTCGGATACGTTCCGGGCGGGGCATCCGCGAACCAAAACGCCACGTCTCCGCGGGGTCGTGGCCCAGGGTGCCCGGCCCGCGAGGCCGCCGACACGGATATGGTCATCGTCCACGAGAGGTGGTCTGGGATCCACTCCTGCTGCAGCCCCCGCCAAGCAGGCCCCCCCGCCGGTGCAGGTCCGTGCCCTGCCGCGGGGCAGCCCCCGGGGCGGCAGCCCCTGCGGGAGTGCCGTGGCCATGCCGGCGTCCAGCCTGTACGAGGCCAGCGAGGCCTCCAGCCCGGTGGCGGTGCTGGGCAGCACTGCGGAGCCCGGCCGCGGCAGGTTCTCCGCCTCCCTCGCAGATCTCCGACGACACCATGGCTGATCTTTCCCTGGAGTTCGGTGCTCCCGGGGGCCGTCATCGGGCCCCGGGGCCACCCAGAAATCGGCCCTGGGCGAGGGGTGGGGCTTTGTGGGGCCGTTCGCTCGGAAGTAGGTCATGCAGCGGAGGCCCTTGCCTGTGCTTGCCTCCAGGGTGCCCTGGGTCTCTGGGGGTCTCGACGGTTCTGCCGCAGAGGGCGTGACGCTGCCACAGCAGAAACCTGGGGCCTCAGGGCTGGGCTTCTTGTGGAAGGCTTCTTGTGGTCGGGCCCTTCTTGTACGGGGAAAAGTCAGGGCATCTGACACACACTGTTCTGCGTACAGCCGCACGCGTGCACAGGGGCCGCAGTGAATATGGGTGCGGGTATACCGAGGCGCGGCGGGTGGGTGAAGGGGACATAGGAGGGATGGGGGGCGAGGAGGAGGAGGAGGAGGAGGAGGAGGAGGAGGAGGAGGAGGAGGAGGAGGAGGAGGAGAAAGATAAAAAACAAACACGCGGCGGCAGCTTTTTTTTTGCCGCGCGCTCGGCCTCTGGGGGGCCCGTACCCCCAGGCCCGCGGAGGCCATGAAGAAGTGGTCCAGGCAGGAAAGCCTGTCCTGGGGGTCGGGGGCGGCCAAGATGGGGTGATGACTAGGGGGTCCTCGTTTTTCAGGACTTCGGGCTCCCTTGGGGCCCTCTAGGGGGGGCACTCTTGGGGCCATCTCTTGGATGCCCGCGATCCACGGAGCAGCGGCGCTGTGCATATAAGCGCTTGGTGCGGAAGCCGCTGCCCTCGACGAAGCCCCAAGGGAAGTGGCCAGCATTCTACATTCGGGGGCGGCAAAGAGGGGGGTGATGACATGGGGGGGTGGATATCATGGCGTGGGCCATGGTATCTCCCCAGATTTCCTGGCGCCTCTTCTCATTTCATTGCGTCCCTGGCGCCCCCCAACCTGGGCCGCGCACATGCCGCCAGCCATCATCTGCGCCCCCCTCTCTTGGACGCCCCCCTCTTGGCCGCTCCCGATGGGGGAAGGGGTCCAGATCTCTGAGGGCCCACGTCGTGTAAAACGAGTCACGACATCAGAGATCCGGGCTCGCGTCGTGTCGAACGGTGGCGACCCTTTTGTACGGGCGTTCTAGGGATGAAGCCCAGATGGCCAGAGGTTGAAAGATCCCGGCGGTTTCCAAAACCCACGCGCAAGTCCTCGCGACACTACCAGCCGTGCACGTAAGTGGCGCTCTGCCAGAGTGACGTTTGGGTGCGGGCCCACTGGGATCTGGGATCCCCCGATCGCTGACCGCGATGCGACAGCAGCGGCCTGCGTCGTGTTTGGGTTAACTCCCGCGTCCTCCTCAAACCGTGCACTAAAGATCACTCTTGCCAGTGGTAACGCTCGTTTAGCCGAGGAGCCCATCGAGTATCCGGTCCAGCTCGGGTTAGCCTACTTGCTTCTGGTCGGATACCTCGTGAGGACGCTCTTCGTGACCTTGAACCTTCCCGCATCCGTGGGGGTGATGATCACGGGCTTCGCTTTCTCGTACTTCTTCCAGAGCGACATCTTCTTCGCGAGGGACCAGCTGCAGGAACTGGCCTTCTTCCTCGTGCTGTTCACCGCCGGGCTGGAGATCAAAGTCGCGGAGCTCCGGTGGCACCTCTTTGTGATGGCCTTCCTTCCGGCCTCCTGCGAAATACTGGGCATCACTGCGTATGGCGTTCTGGTGCTAGGCTTCCACCCCATAGAAGGTATGGTGCTGGGCACTGTCCTGGTCGCCATCGGGGACGGGCTGGTGATCCCCAAGATGAAGGAGTTCGGCGTGCGGTTCAAGGGCCATCCCATGCCCAGGCTCATGTTCGCCTGGGCCCCGTTGGAGGCCTCCTATGCCCTGACGGTCTTCGGTGTTCTCGTCGGCATGTCGGCGCCTTCACACCAGCCGGACGTGCAAATGGGATCTCTCGTGTTCGGCAACGTGCTGCGGATCACCGCCACCGTCGTCGCGGGGGCATTCCTCGGCGCCGTGAGCGGGAGGCTCATCCCCCTTCGGACGGCGCTCCTGTGGCACCGGCGGCAGGTGTTCTCGGGGACCGCTGTGGAGGCGTTCCTGATGGTACTGTCCGTCGCCCTCTTGGCCTTTGGCCTCGGCGGGGCGTCCGATCGGGGGAAGGAGCTGATCCCGATGAGCTTCTGCCCGGGCTCCATGTTCCAGCCGGAGCTGCTCGTGATCGCCACGGGCAGCTGCTTTGCCTCGTACACCGAGCCCAGGCTGCTCCACGAGGTGGAGGGAATACTGGGCGGCGTTTGGGTCTTTGGCCAGCTGATCCTGTTCAGCATGCTGGGCAGCAGGACCACGCCAGCCATCATGACTCAGCTGTACCGAGTTCTGCCAGTGATGCTCGTCGGGTTGTCGTTCCGCTTCGCGGGCGTATTTTTTGGCATGGCGTTGACAATGACGGCGCGCGGTCGCAAATACAGCGACCTCTTGCCGGACATAGTCTTCTGCTTCCTGTCCACTTTGCCCAGGGCGACCATCCAGGGCGCGCTAGGGGCCGTCCCCGTCACACAGCGCTTCTTCAAGGGCTTCCCCCACAGGCACCTTGCGCAGGAGTTCGTCTTTATCGCAGCCCGGCTATACATCGTCAGCATGTCGATCGTAGGTATGGTCCTCCTCAACACCATCGGGCCCCGCATGCTGCAGGCAACCCAGCAGGACTCCCAGCCCCCCGACGTTATACTTTTTCACCACGTCTACCCCCAGAGGTCTCGATCCATTCCCTTTGACCGGTTTTTCATCCTGAGTATTTAGGGGAACAAACAACGACATAAATATAAAAACTCGAAGGTCCGCACGGACTTCTCGGATAGGCGTTGGATCCCCCCTGCCTGGCGCGCGGAGCGCGCCAGGGGCGGCGCCAGAGGCGCCGCCAGGGGAGTTCCAGCGCCGATCCGAGAAGTCCGCGCGGACCTCCGAGTTTTGTTTATGTCATTGTTCGTTCCCCTGATAGTTTTTGGCGGTCCCAGGGCCCGGCGAGGGCCCTCAGAGGCTGAGAATGACCAAACGCCGCTCGGCGTGATCTTTGCACGGCCCGCGGGGGTCTGCGCAGCAGGACCCGGCCCACCAGAGCTGCCCGACCGGAGACACCGACTCCACGGACGCGTCCACGGAGGACGCAGGGGCAATGAGATGGGGGTTAGGTTTAAGTCGGGCACGTCCTTCTACAGGAGGAGAATTCAAAAATAGCGGAACAATAGTCTGGAGACGTTTCTTCGAGTATTCTTGTCTATTTGTTGACTTCGCTTGACTATTTTTTATGTTTCGTCCAACATCCGCCGGTAGGAGGACGTGCCCGACCTAAGAATAGGCTCGGCTCAGGGGGGCCACGTCGACCCCCAATCGCCCGTGGATCGCTGAGAGGCGTCTGTTGGCCCCCCTACCCCGCCTGGAAGCTTGCGGATTCGCCATCGTTGGCCTCTCGCCGACCTGTCGGAGAAGGCAGGTGTCGCGCGACCTGCGCGCGCACTTGCCTTCTCCGTGTTGGCGGGTGCCTCTGAAGGGCTGGAGGACCCGTGCCGTGGGAGCCAGCGAACTGCTCCGCCTACGGGTGGACCGCCTTCTCAAGCAAACATCACAGGGTCAGCGGGAACGGGCAAAACAGATAAACACATCGCCGACCGTTCGGCGATGTAGCGCCGATTCCAGGTCGCTGCTTCCCGCCTGAGCCAGCCCCCTCAGGCCCTCCCCTCCCCCCCCATCCCCTCCCCCCTCCACTCCCTCCCCTCCCCCCCCCCTCCCCTCCCCTCCCCTCTCCCACTCCCCTCCCCCTCCCTCCTCCTCCTCCCCCCCCCCCCCCCTCGTTTTGCCCTCCAGAGGACGCCAAGGGGGACGAGGAGACCGAGGGCATGCTGGAGGAGCGCCGGAGCAGCAGCGCCCTGCACCTGCAGGCGGCCCTGGAGGCGCTGGCGGAGAAGTTCGCCCTGCCGCCGGGCGAGGTTCCGCGCACAGCAGGGGCACACACGCTCCGACTTTTTCGGAGGCTGCTCGGCCTCCTGCCCCCCCTCCTCACTCCTCCTCCTCCTCCTCATCTCTCCTCCTCCTCCTCCTCCTCCTCCTCCTCCTCCTCCTCCTTCCTCCTCCTCCTCCTCCCTCCTCCTCCTCCCTCCTCCTCCCTCCTCCTCCTCCCCTCCTCCTCCTCCTCCTCCTCCCCCTCTCTCCTCCTCCTCACTCCTCCTCCTCCTCCTCCTCCTCTCCTCCTCCTCTCCTCTCCTCCTCCTCCCTCCCCTCCCTCCTCCTCCTCCTCCTCCTCCTCCCCCTCCCCCTCCTCCTCAGGCCTCCTGCCCTGACACGTCGATTCGCGAATCGGTCGTTCTGGATTCGCGAGAGGGCGCCGCGGCCGTCGTTTCTGCGGGTCCAGGTCCGTCGGTTTCGGTCCCAGGCCGTTCTCACCAAAGAGGGTGGTTTGCTAGAGGGAGGCCAGTCCACCGCCGAGACTTTCACGATGGAAGTCGCACGTGTCCACATGTCACAAGCGGCCGCGCCGTACTCCGAGCACGCGAGCTCTTTGCGCTCCGCGCCCGCCGGGGCGCGGTCCTCCACGACGGGCGGGCAGGCGCGCCTCATGAGCCTCTCGAGGCTCGGCTCTGCGGCAGATCCGTGCTATGACGACGTGGGTGCTGCCAGGAAGCTGGAACACACACACACACATGCCTGGATTCACACGTGACATGTGGAACAGGTGGAGGCCACGCAATGCTGGGGGTACTTGGGGGGTGGGTCTGATATGGGGGGGGTCCTGTTTTGAGCCGTCTGGGAGTTTTCCAGGGGCTCTGGGCTCAGGGCCGCACTTCCAGGGCTGGTCGGGTGGGGGGTCTGAAATGGCTGGTCTGTAAGGCTTGTGACCCCCACTCCTCTCTTTTGAAACTTTGAGTGGAAGTAAACCTTCGGAGCTCCGCGCGCATCTCCTGGCTTGGCGCCGGATCCCTCTGGCGGCGCCTCCAGCGCCGATCCAAGAGATCCGTGCGGAGCTCCGACAGTGAGGAGGAAGAGGAAGAGGAGGAGGAAGAGGAGGAGGAAGAGGAGGAGGAGGAGGAGGAGGAGGAGGAGGAGGAGGAGGAGGAGGAGGAGGAGGAGGAGGAGGAGGAGGAGGAGGAGGAGGAGGAGGATGGAGGAGGATGGAGGAGGTGTTGGAGGATGGAGGAGGATGGAGGAGGTGTTTTTCTTCCTCTAGAGGTCCTTGGCATGCTGTGCCACGCCTCGGCGTCGGGGCGCGACGCGGACGGCCGCCTCGGGTACTCCGAGGAGGGCGAGCTGCGGCAACGGCTTCGGGGGCCTGCGGCGGGCCTTTCCCGTCGCCACGGCTGGACGCAGCTCGGAGAACTGGCTGGACCCGGGAGCCGCCCGGGGACCGACCTTCAGGGCACGCAAGAGTTCACCACCCACCAAACCACCCCAACCCAACCCGAAGGCTCAGATTTACCCTCGATTTCTAGTGGGGGGGGGTCCGGGAACATCGAAAAAAACACATATGGAGCCCATACCCCCCCCCAACCCGAAATTCGGGTCTTCGGGTTGGGTTGGGGTGGTCTGGTAGGTAGTCAAGAGTGACCCTTCCCCGGAGTGACCTATGGTGCAGGCCCTTGGGGTCCCCCGATCACCGAACGCGACGCGATACCAGCGGCTTGCGCGCTCGTGTTTGGTCCCCCCGCGGCCCCCCCAAAGCCGCGCACCAAAGGTCACTCTTGCCCAGGGTCTCTCTTGCGTGTAGCCGACGGAGACGGGGGCACGGCAAACGGGGGCACGGGGAACGCCGATTACCACGTTTGGTTCTGCCCCGTTCGGGGGACCCTGGGCGTCGTAGACGGGGGCACGGTAAGCGGGGATCACACGGAAAAGCCCAAGCCCCCGTTCAGCTGAGCCCCCCGTTCACGAAGCCTCGAGATTCTGAGCTGCCGTTGTCTCGGCGCGCCCTGCTCCCAGGTACACGCCCTTTGCGAGGCAGAGCTCCGCGCCCGAGGTCGCCCACGGGCATGTACGCTGCGACGACCTCGGGAAGCGGCTCCATGCTAGGGCCCAGCCCCCGCTCTGGGGCGGCAGGTGGCGACTGGAGCCCGCGGGGAGACCGCCCCTGGACATCGAGGACTGCGAGCTCGCGCTGGCGCAGTTCGAGGCCGCGGGGTGCCTGATGGCCGCTCGCCGCGGTTCGGTGCCCCAGGGCCTGTAGTGCACGCTCGCGCCCTCCGATCGATGATTCCTCGGGACGTGTGCGTGAGTCCAATGTCGGTCAGTAGCTGTGGCTTCGCGTGTCGCTCCGCCAGTTCTGGCCCACCACGCCTCGGCGCGACACGCTGTCCACGTCCCCAGTGTCCAGGCATCCCGCCCCGCGGAGCGGAGCGACGCGCTATCCGCTTGCAGGGCATAGCGTGTCGCTGGGGCCGCCGCCGCGACACGCCGAGCAAAGGCACCCGACCGCAGGTGTTACCCCGCCCTGCTTCCCCCACGGCACTCCGCCCGCGCCGGGCCCTGCCTGCGCTGCCCGAGCCGCGTCGAGGGGCCCCGGTGGACGCGCAGGCGCCGGCGCCACAGCACGCGTTCGGAGCAGCGCCGGGCCGACCACACGCCCCGCAGCGCGCAGAGGCATGGCGTCGTGGCCGTGGCCTGCCCGCGGCGCGGCATCCCGGGGCCTGCCGCTCGCGCGGTCTCCGCCCGGGAGCCCCTCCCCGCCGCGCGGCCTGGACTGCGCGGGCCGCCGTGCTCTTGGCGGCGAGCATTCTTCCCCCGAGGCGTGTGCGGCCGCTCGCGGCGGCGTCGGCGCTGCGGTGGTGGCTCGAGGCAGGGCCTGGCCCTTCCAAGCTGCCGGTGGCAGTCGTGGCCACCAGAGGGCTGGTCAGCAGTCATGGCCCTCTGTGGGCCCCCGTGCGAGGGCAAGGGGAATCCGTAGCCCGTCTCGCACGAGTAGGTCTGTTCCATTCCGTGGGCCACTGGTAAGCCCGGGGGCCCGAATTATTAAATTCCGAATTGTTCAGCTGCCTCCGTCAATTCCACCTCCGTGCCAACGCGGCATCGGCAACCACTTCAGAAGGCAAGGGAGCCTGCTGGGGGCCTCTGGGAACAGAAGGATCGAATTCTGTATTCGTGTTCCTGCTCTTGGCCCTTCCTGGGGCCGTTTTGGGGCCCTCTTGGGCAGGCGTGTGCGCTTCTTGGGCCGTCTTGAAGCCCTCCCCCAGGGGCCGTCTTGGAGATCTGTTGCGGGCCTCTCGTGCCGTCTCGGGGGGGTCTTGGGGGCATCTTGGGCCGGTTTGGAGCATCGGAAGCTCGATACGGCGACAACCGCAAAACCATCGAAAAAGCTTCGAACATCAGAGGTTTTTGCATCTCGGGGGGCCTCTTTTGGCCTTCTTGGGGCCCCTCTTCGAAGGCCCTTCTTGGTGCCGTCCTGGGGCACTCTTAGGCATTCGGGGGCGCCTCTTGGGCCGTCATGGAACCCTCTTGGGCCGTCGTGAGCCCTCTTGGGGGGCTCTTGGACCGTCTTTGGGCAGTCCTGCTGATCTCTTGGGTAGTTTTGGGGCTTTGGAAACTCGAAAAGGCGAGAACTCGAAACACATGGAAACACCGTAGGATAATCAATGGTTTTTGCCTCTCGAGGCCCTCTCGGGCAGGTTTTTGGAGCTCTCTTGGGACGCCTCGACGGCCTCGCGGGCCGTCTTGGAGCCATCTCGGGCCATCTTGAGGCCAGCGTGGCCACTCTTGGAGCGATCTTGTGCCGTCTTTGCGACATCCAGGCCTCAGGAGCGCGAATTTGCCGTATTCTGCGAGGGGTAATGACCTCTGGAAGGGGGGGGCGGTGCGCGCAGCGAGATGCGACCGGGCGACGGGTGGGGGCCCCAGAAAAATTTGGAAGCCCGACAAGACAGACCCTTGGCATTCTTCCACGCCTCCACGTGCACAAGGGCACGGTGGCGGATCCGGTTTAGGCCGCCGCTTCACATGTGTGGCTCCTGCGCTTCAGGGCGCGAGCTGGCTGACTTACCCCATAGGCTTCTCTGGAGTTAGCAATGTGCGCACGTGAGTAATTTTTGTATATGTAGGTAATCTGCGGCAGCCTGAGGCAAAGTGGCAATCATCGTCTTAGTATTAAGTCTATTGAGGAAGCTGTTCTCTCGTCTTGCGCACCTTCTGCAGTATGGTGAGCTCTCCATGCCCGTCGACAGCAGCCAGTGTAAACTCCGCTCATTCCGCGTCTTGATTAATCTTTTGGCGAGCCCGTGCTTTGGAGTCCCCTGGTAGTGCAAAGTGCACTTTGGAGATCGCCGCTTAATTCATGCGAGCGCAGTTCTGACTGGCGAGTAAGGCATTTAGCGCACGTTGCTTGATTCGGTAAAGTCGTGCTTTCATGCTCTGATGTGCGAAGGATAGTTCGTCGAACACTTGCTCGCTCGTCCTCCTTCTCCCCAGACCTCTGTACTGCTTTTTCAATGTGTGGGCTTTGGAGCTCCTGGCCCTAGATCTCGCACGGCTCTCTCCCGGGAGGCGCAGTGTATTTTGCGGGCCCCTACAACCGAAAACCTAACGGCCTAACACTCAGAAACGTCGCCCGTCCTGATTTCTTCCAGTGCACAGGGTGTCAGGTTTCTCTTGGATTCTCCGATCGTGAGGCTGCACAGTGGAGACGGTCTGCAGCCCCGCTGGGCTTTCACAGCTAGCTTGTCCGACCCCCGTGGTCCCTCGAGCTGCAAGGTTCCGTGACGCGTGAAGCGCCGTGCGCAGGCTTCCACGTAACTTTGAAGTCATCGGTGTTGGCGCGACGGCTGAAATTCGGGGTGCGATAGAGCTCCGCTCAAAGACGCGAGCGCCTGGGCCGCGGCCCACGCGTGACTGGCCTCCACTAAGGAGAGGGCCAAAGACACGCAAGATGATGCCGACGACGACGATGGTAATGATGACGACGGCGACAACGACGACGACGATGATGATGATGCTGATGATGCTGATGATGCTGATGATGATGGTGGTCATGATGCTGCTGCTGCTGCTGCTGCTGTTGTTGTTGTTGTTGTTGTTGTTGAACATTATTACTTCTAAAGAATAATTATTGTTGGGACCCCTGGTGCACGACCCCCCTCCAAAACCTAGGCCGCAGCTACATTTTCATCATTTTTTCGCGAAAGCTTCAGAAAAGTGGATTATGTCCGGATCCGGTTTTTTGTTCCCCCCCGCTTTCCCTTGCAAAAAACACTATAAAATGAAAATTCTTGTTCTTACTTGATCAAATTGCAAGAATCCCTTGCAAAAAATAAGGTAAAGTGGACATTCGTGCGCGCAAGACGAAATCCTTCCAAAACCTTAGGTTTCGTAACGATTTTAACATAAAAACATCAAAAACCCAATGGTTTTTTAAGAAAAAATTGTCAAAATGTCCTTCCGCGCGCGCTGTCCGAATCCCACAAAACCAATGGTTTTTCAACATTTATGTTACATGAGCTCGCGCGAGCTACTTTTTCTTGTTCTAACATAATCAAATTTCAATAATCCCTTGCAAAAAATAAGGTAAAGTGGACATTCGCGCGCGCAAGACGAAATCCTTCCAGAACCTTAGGTTTCGTAACGATTTCAACATAAAAACATCAAAAACCCAATGGTTTTTCAAAAAAAAATGTCCAAATTTCATCCCGCGCGCGCTGTCCGACTCCCACAAAACCAATGGTTTTTCAACATTTATGTTACATGAGCTCGCGCGAGCTACTTTTTCTTGTTCTAACATAATCAAATTTCAATACTCCCTTGCAAAAAAAAGTAAAGTGGACATTCGCGCGCGCAAGACCAACAAAAAACACGACGATCTCAGGAACTTGCCCCAAAAATGTGACCAACTCCGCTCTCTCTGTCTCTCTCTCTGTCTGCTCTCTGTCTCTCTCTCTGTCTGTCTGTGTCATGTATTGTATGTCACAATTGCAGGATGCTGGGCACACGCGCGCCCCGAATAAGTGACCAAGTTCTGTGGGTGTGTACCCCACGCCAGTGTAGTAGCCACGGTCGTCCGCACGCCACGAAGTGAAGTGTCCCAACGTCATAGGGCGGGAAGCTGGGTTTGGGTGGTCGCGAAGAGTCGTTTGGATATTTGGTAGAGCTTGAACTGCCCCCCCACGAAGTGGGGGTATTGTCTCGCGTCGCATGAAAACCCTGGCACTGGTGAGAACACTGAGCGTTCGGGTAAAATGATTGTTGTTGTTGTTGTTGTTGTTGTTGTTGTTGTTGTTGTTGTTGTTGATGATGATGATGATGATGATGATGACGACGACGACGACGACGACGAGGATGATGATGATGATGATGATGATGATGATGATGATGATGATGATGATGATGATGGTGAGGAGGAGGAGAATGACGACTACGACCCCGCACACTTCTGGAGCTGGTGTCAAGTGGAGGACGAGGAGGAGGAGGAGGAGGAGGCAGGAGGAGGAGGAAGAGGATGATGAGGAGGAGGAGGAGCAGGAGGAGGAGGAGGAGGAGGAACAGGATGAGGAGGGGAGGAGAGGGGGAGGAGGAGGAGCAAGAAGAGGAGGAAGAGGATAAAGGGGAGGGGGAGGAAGGGAGGGAGGGAGGAGGTGGAAGAGGATGAGAAGGCATTTGGCTGAGGGTAGCCCCTGAGGTTTGGGGGCAGCCTATCCGACCGAAGTTTCGCGCGGCCACAGCTCGGCACACGCCATTCCCTGGGCCAGGGAGAGGCCGCTGGCATGGCCAGCACGCCGTTTGGGAGGTCCGGAGAACCAGGCTGGCACAGGCGTGCCATACAAGAACGAGCTGCGGCTCGACAACTACAACTGCGAATGGGAGCAGCCCGTCAGTTGCTCCAGCGGCGCCAGAGTGCCCAGCAGCCACAACGTGCAGATCGAGAACGCGCGGATCAAGGTTGGGTTTGCGATTGTGGCAATCCTGTTCCTGGGTGGTCGTGGTACTGTGGATGTGACAAGAACTATGCCATGAAGAGGCGTGGAGCAAGTGCATCAAGATTGCTCGTTCGCCAAGCAGAGGAAGATCGCTCCAACCCAAGACGCCGACGACGAGCCAAGGAACTGGACCGACGAGGCAACCCAGCCAAGCCAGACAGGAACCTCGCAGCGACAAGGAGTATCACCAGATGGAGAAGCAGACCTGGAAGCTCAAGGACAAAGGCGGGCCA